TATCTACTGACAGGCTCTTGCATGATAAGCGTGACGGGCAGTTCCCAGGGCGGCTCGGAGGTGCTGGGCCGTGGAAGGGGGTGACAGTGACGGCCCCTTGGCACGTGGGGGAGCCCGGTGCGGGCAGCTCCGCCACGTCCTGGGAGCTGACAGGCTCGGCCCCCAGCGAGGCCCCGTGTCTCCAGGGCGTTCACACAACAGCTCCTGTCCGTGTGCGGGGCCTGCTTTCAGAGCAAGGCGCTTCACTATCACCTTGGTTTTCTACGGTTTTGTATATAAAAATCGTAATTCTATTTAAAAACCACTTATTGTGTGTACTGTGTGCCAGGAACGGGGTGAGCTACTCGTTAGCATAATGTTTCTCCTGTGCAGATGCAAAAAGCTAAAGCAAAGCGATGTTAGGGTCACACAGAGCGATGTTAGGGTCACACAGATGATACGCAGAAGAAAGGGCTCTGGCTCCAGGGGCTCTCACGTCGAGGCTTTGCTTCCAAACACTGAACTGTACCTGATTTTAAAAATACAAGAATTGCCCTCTCCTGTTTGGCTCCGTGGATAGTGTCAACCTACAGACTAAAGGGTCCAGGTTCAATTCCGGTCAAGGGCACATGCCCGGGTTGCGGGCTTGATCCCCAGTGGGGAACATGCAAAAGGCAGCCAATCAATGATTCTGTCTCATCATTGATGTTTCTGTCTCTCCCTCCCTCTTCCCTCCTCTCTGAAATTAATAAAAATATATTCAAATATATATATATATATATGCACACACATCCCTTTTAAAAAAAATACAAGTATCTACTGTGTGATGTCACGTATTATAATAGGCTGTTGTCTCACACGTTGTCCAGGTCCAAGACTTTATTTATTCTAAACGTGACTATTCAACACAGTCATTGCCAGGCAAAAACAGGATTTTCATGGTAAGAATAGTGGGCTATTACCTATTAGAAAAAATAAAAGTCACGCTATTGAATGTATCCTTTAGTGGTTTTGGAATTGCAGACCTCACCCCGGGCACCTCGGGTGAGCTCGTTATAGCAGCTGAGTGAGACACTGGCACCAGCCTCCCAGGCAGCTAACCCCAAAGGGAAAACTATTGAATTACCAGGTTCATTGTCGGGTCAAGGGAACAGGCGCCCCCTGGCGGGGATGCACTTGGTCCGCGGGTTGAATTCCAAGAGGAGCTGTCCTGTGGGTACTTGGAAGTAAAAACAAACGTGGACAGAAATTTGAACGACAGTTTTGCAAATCACGTAGAAAATTCAGATAGTTGTGGTTTTTTTACATCAGCCCTTTCAAAACGAATAACTGACCTAAAAAAATAAACTGACCCCGTGGGATTTTTTATGGGAACTGAGGATCCCAGCGAGAGGCAGAGCCATTTGGAAATTAGATAGAGATAGAGATAGAGATAGAGATAGAGATAGAGATAGAGATAGAGATAGAGACAGAGATATGATATGGATATAGATATAGATGTAGATATAGATATAGATATGCTCAGATGTCCCCACAGATCTATAGATGCATACAGATATATTGATACCTCATTATCTGTATCTGTATTGACATACCTAGAGAGAGGGATTGGTTGCAAGGAACTGGCTTCTGTGGTCGTGGGCGGCTAGGCAAGCCCCAGATCCACAGGACAGGCCACCAGGAGGGCGCGGGGCCTCAGGTGTTGCTGAAGCTGTTGGCCACAACGGCCTCTCTTCGTGGGGCGGCCTCCGTCCTGCTCTTGAACCTTTCGATGGTTGAGCCAGGCCCGTGCGGCCTGACCGGGGTGTCTCTCTCCGGGAAAGGACCCGGTCACGGACCTGTAGACCTACAGATCCCTTCACAGAAACACCCGTCAGCTCGGATGAAGCAGCCGGGGCTGTAAACTAGGCACGCAGACGACAGAGTGAGCCTCGTGGAGCCAAGATAACTCGGTTTCCACATATTGCTTCCAATCAGACCTAACGAGGGGGAGAGCGCAGAGAGCCACAGAATAGGCATGTATTGCTTTTATAATTTTTTAAAGGCTGTAAAAATTATTTGTTAAAAAATTAAGCATTAACTATTTTGGTCCAAATAACATAAGAACGAATGTCTTAGTAACTTAGTAGTCATTTGGGGAGAAAATAGCTCATATAAATTGAAAGAAATATATGTTTTTATTTTGTTTTTAAACAGCTACATCTCCTGCTCCAGATAGATGTTGTCATGTGGTTTCTTGCTGATGCTCTAAGCACAGGAACCTCTGAAAACCCAGCTTGGCAAACACAGGGTGTCATTAAGAGGGTGGCGGCACGAGGGACATGGATACCGCGACCTGCCTTTGTCAGTAATTCACACGGTCTCCAGCGGGTGTCGAGTGTCCCTGTGTGTGCCCCAAAAATTTACCGACACCATTGCACCCTGGGAGCTTGTTGCGGCACCCCAGGGTGCCTTGGGGCACAGTTTGGGAACTAGAGCCTAAGCATTTGTACAAGCGCTTTGTGGACAATCTTGCATTCTGGATGATGAAATTTAAAACCCGGCCATTTTGTAATCAAATCCGACCTCCTAGACCAGGGGTGGGCAAACTTTTTGACTCGAGGGCCACAATGGGTTCTTAAACTGGACCGGAGGGCCGGAACAAAAGCATGGATGGAGTGTTTGTGTGAACTAATATAAATTCAAAGTAAACATCATTAAAAAAAAGGGTACGGTTTTTCATTTCAAACGGGCCTGGTCCGGCCCGTGGGCCGTAGTTTGCCCACGGCTGTCCTAGATCCTCGTTCTGTGTGAGACTGGAGTTATTTCCATGAGGAAGCCGCAGCTTGCTGGGACTGAATTTCCATTGTCCTCTCTAATAGAGGCGCAGGGCCACGGGCATCCCCGAGGCGTCGTTTTGCCACTGCGTGCCTTCTGCCACATGGAAGTGGTGGGCTTAGCTCTGCGCTCCCGCCTTTCCGTTTTGTACTTTATCGTTGGTTCTCCGGCCCCGTGTGAAAGGGAACTTCATGTCTCTGTCGGAAAAGGCCTCTTTCTTCTGACAAACTGATCGAGCTCCGGGGTGTTCCTGCACCGTGAACTGATTTCCTGTCTCATCCACTGGCTGATAGGACGTGACGTGTGTGCCCCGCCAGGCCCCGGGCAGCCCGGCCTCCACAGGAAGCAGCGGGCGAGACCACACAGTGAGCTCTGCTGAGTGACGGGACAACACAGCCATAGGGCCACACAGAGTGACACAGTCACACAGCCACACTCAGCCACACACAGCCACACTCAGCCACACACAGCCACACTCAGCCACACTCAGCCACCTTCACAGCCACACTCACAGTCTCACACACGGTAACAAACACACAGCCACACTCAGTCACAGGGCCACACAGAGTGACACAGCCACACTCAGCCACACACAGCCACACTTACAGTAACAAACACACAGCCACACTCAGTCACATTCACAGTCACACTCACAGTCTCACACACGGTAACAAACACACAGCCACACACACAACCACACTCAGTCACAGTCACACAGTCACATAGACACACACAGCGAACACACACACACAGTCATAGTCATACGCAGCCACACAACGTGACTTTCTTGTCAAGTCCTGAGGATTCAGTCGTCCCCGGTGAGCAGCTAAAACAAGAAACTGGACCCAGCGAGGAGGCGCCACAACCTGAGGGGAACTGTCTCGGACATCTGTCCTCTGAGGCAGGAGGGACGGGGATGGTTTAGGGATGAAGCTGATTGTTTCCTACATCCTGTTTGTTTGGGGCTTTCTTTATCCGTTCAAAGCATCTTACCTTAAGCAAAACAGCTAACTTCCTGGCTGATGCGCAGTGTTCACTGGAGAGCTTTCAAGTTTCTAGAACTTTGCATTTTCCAGACACTCGGGACGGTGCCCTAGAGTCACCTGTGCCCTAGAATCACCTTTGCCCTAGAGTCACCTGTGCCCTAGCCGTCACCTGTTGTCGGCAAAAACACACCCCAAAACTCTGTGATTGAAAAGAGCAGCAGTCTGGCTCCTGAGTTGCTTTATTTTGTTTTCCACACAACCCTGTCATTTGGGCAGAGTCCTGGGAAGACAGTTTGCTCCCTGAGGGGTGGGCTGGGGCCACTCGGCCAGGAACCAGAGGATCCGTTGAAACGGGTCTCAAAAGCCGGCTGGCTGTCCACTCTGAGCTCAGCGGGGCTGGAGGGCCGAGAGCCTCCCCCTGGGCCTCCCCACGGCAGCTGGGCTGCAGAACCAGCACCCTGAGAGAGGGCTGCGAGCTATGTGCTCCCCACAGCTGGCAGGAGCCCCTCTGAACCTGTGTGCTCCCACAGCTGGCAGGAGCCCCTCTGACACCCTGTGCTCCCACAGCTGGCAGGAGCCCCTCTGAACCTGTGTGCTCCCACAGCTGGCAGGAGCCCCTCTGAACCTGTGTGCTCCCACAGCTGGCAGGAGCCCCTCTGAACCTGTGTGCTCCCACAGCTGGCAGGAGCCCCTCTGAACCTGTGTGCTCCCACAGCTGGCAGGAGCCCCTCTGACACCCGTGTGCTCCCACAGCTGGCAGGAGCCCCTCTGACACCCGTGTGCTCCCACAGCTGGCAGGAGCCCCTCTGACACCCGTGTGCTCCCACAGCTGGCAGGAGCCCCTCTGACACCCGTGTGCTCCCACAGCTGGCAGGAGCCCCTCTGACACCCGTGTGCTCCCACAGCTGGCAGGAGCCCCTCTGACACCCGTGTGCTCCCACAGCTGGCAGGAGCCCCTCTGACACCCGTGTGCTCCCACAGCTGGCAGGAGCCCCTCTGACACCCGTGTGCTCCCACAGCTGGCAGGAGCCCCTCTGACACCCGTGTGCTCCCACAGCTGGCAGGAGCCCCTCTGACACCCGTGTGCTCCCACAGCTGGCAGGAGCCCCTCTGACACCCGTGTGCTCCCACAGCTGGCAGGAGCCCCTCTGACACCCCTGTGCTCCCCACAGCTGGCAGGAGCCTCTCTGACACCGGTGTGCTCTCGTCTTCCCGCAGCTCGTCTTCTGCCGCGACTGTAAGGACGCCTACCACGAGGGGGAGTGCAGCGCCCTGGCCGCCGCCTCCGGGGCAGCCGCTCAGGTAAGGTGGCCTCGTCCTCCTCGGGCTCAGAGTGTGGGTGGGAGGGAAGAGCTCTGTCCTGAAGGTCCTGGAGGGTTCCACTCGGAATCAACAAGAACCGGGCCGGGCGCCTGCAGCCTGGGAAGGGGGCAGTGGCTCCTGGGCCATCGGATCCTTCCAGAACCTCGCCCCTCGGGGTGGAGCCGCAGACTCCCCGTGTGGGGGCGCAGGTGTTTCCATGGCGCGTTTCCCAGAGGTGCAGGGGGTAGGGGTGAGGGACACAGCAGATCAGAGAGTCCGCACAGGAGACGTGACACAGGCAACCACCCCTAAGTCGGAGAATCCATACTCACCTCATGCTATTCCTTTCAAAGGCGTCTTTGCTTAGACTCTTTGGCAGAAATGCCTCCATGAATGAAATGCTAGAAGTGTTATGCGACGCAAGGATATCATGGTTGTTTACAACGTGGTGAACTATGCTGGGTGGGGGTTCAGCCTCGATCAGTAAGAGTGCTGTCCGCTGAGCCTCTCCGGGCTGCATCAGGCCTCAGGGAACGCAGCTACGTTCTCTCTTATTTATTAACTACTAGAGGCCCGGTGCACGAATTAGTGCACCGGTGGGGTCCCTCGGCCTGGCCGGCGAGATCAGGCCGAAACTGGCTCTCCAACATCCCCTGAGGAGTCCTGGATTGTGACAGGCAACCACCCCTAAGTCGGAGAATTCATACTCACCTCATGCTTATTCCTTTCAAAGGCGTCTTTGTTTAGACTCTGGCAGAAATGCCTCCATGAATGAAATGCTAGAAGTGTTATGCGACGCAGGGATATCATGGTTGTTTACAAAGTGGTGAACTATGCTGGGTGGGGGTTCAGCCTCAATCAGTAAGAGCACTGTCCGCTGAGCCTCTCCAGGCTGCATCAGGCCTCAGGGAACACAGCTACGTTCTCTCTTATTTATTAACTACTAGAGGCCCGGTGCACGAATTAGTGCACCGGTGGGGTCCCTCGGCCTGGCCGGCGAGATCAGGCCGAAACTGGCTCTCCAACATCCCCTGAGGAGTCCTGGATTGTGAGAGGGCACAGGCCAGGCTGAGGGACCCCATTGGTGTACGAACGGGGCCGGGGAGGGATGCGGGAGGTTGGCCAGTGGGGGAGGAACGAGAGAGGGCTCCAGGGCGTGTCCGACCTGTCTCACTCAGTCCCAATTGGCCGGACCCCAGCAGCAAGCTAACCTACCGGTCAGAGCGTCTGCCCCCTGGTGGTCAGTGCACATCATAGCGAGCAGTTGAGCAGCCTTACCATATCATTAGCATATTAAAGTTTGGTTGGTTGAACGGACGACTGGACACTTAGCATATTAGGCTTTTATTATATAGGATGATCCATCCATCCAGCTTCAGGGGCAAGGACTCGCCCCTTCAACACAGCCGGCGAGGTTGCTCATTCTTCTCTCCTGATAGAGACGTTAGCAAGGGTTTAAACGCCACATCTGCCCGGATAAATCCTTCAGTCGTTCTATTGACAGGAGCTTCATAAATCAACATAAAAATTCCAGAACATTTTAATTTTACTCTAGAGAACTTTAAATGTCTGAATGCTGCAAAGTCAGAGCATAAGGAAGTATATCCCTGTACGCCTTCTGCAGATGTATTTATTCAGTATTCGTGTAATTAAATACACATAACTGGCGCGCTCGGGCTTCTCACCAGCCTCTGAATGCTGGCCCGAGACACTGGGATGTTCGGCTGAATTGCCGTTTCCGTAGCAGAGGCGGCAAAGCTCTCTCTGCTGACTTTGTCTTGGCCCAGGAGCATTCACATGGGAGCCACTGGGTAGTGATGTCAGGCTGGATAATGACCTTGAGACCACCCTGCCCTCGCCTTGGGGTCACTGTGCCCCGGAGGGTAGAGCCTGGGGCCCTGGGAAATTGAGTTGGCCTTGCACCTTCCAGCCATATCCTGTGATGGCCACAGGCATGGACAAAGGCTTCCAGGAAGCGATGCCCCCACACCTGTTTGTGTTAAAGCAGTGGGAGTCAGTAAAGAAGAGCATAGTCTAACACAGTGGTCAGCAAACTGTGGCTCGGCAAACCGCGGCTTGCAAGCCACATGCGGCTCTTTGGCCCCTTGAGTGTGGCTCTTCCACAAAATACTGACTTCTGCACATGGGCCACGAAGTTTCAATCATACTGTACGTGCGCGCCCACACGTGGTATTTTGTGGAAGAGCCCACACATTCTATGTACACCACATATGCACACACACATACTACACACACACTACACACACACACACCACCAATACACACACACTATGTATACCACATACGCACATACTACATAACTCTCACCACATGCACACACTCACCACACACAGTTATCACACACACACCACATACACAAAACACAGTACATAACTCTCACCACATGCACACACTCACCACACACAGTTATCACACACACACCACATACACAAAACACAGTACATAACTCTCACCACATGCACACACTCACCACACACAGTTATCACACACACACCACATACACAAAACACAGTACATAACTCTCACCACATGCACACACACTACACACACACACACCACATACACAAAACACACATACTATGTACACCACATACATACACACTACATAACTCTCACCACATGCGCGCACACACACACATACACACACACACACACACACACACACACACACACTCACCCTGAGACTGATCTCTGCCCGGGGAGCGGGGAGGGCCGCCTGCAATTCTCTGCGTTGTTCAGTGCAGGAGTGCAAGCACCTGCTGAGCGCCTCTCCTCCACCAGATGGCGCTGCCTCCCTAAGGGAAATGAATGGAATGTTTTGCAAGAAATGGTGGCCCAAAGCGAAATGACCGGAAAGGAGTGTTTGCCATTTTCAAACAGCAGGACTGTTTCCACGGGAGCATTTCTGGGCAAAGACGGGCTGGGTCCCAGCTGCTGGAACCCCTCCAGCCCCTCAGTGATGAAAACGGGGGCGGGACAGGCATGCTGTCGTCCTCAGGGGCGTGTAGACTCCGTGGGGAGCTGGAGCCCGCTCTGTCCACGCACCCCCTTTCCCACGAAGCACGGCGCTCACACTGGCCACGCTGGTCTCCACGTTCGAGTCGTGCCGTCAGCAGGACCAGCTGTGCGTGTCTCCTCCGCCCGCCGTGGCCTGGAGGAATCCGAGGCCAGGCACATGGTTGGAAGCCGAGCAGGGCTGGTCTTGAGAATGAGTCGGGTCTGGCTGGCTACAAGGGTCCCCTTCGCGTCCACCTGGCGAGGCCGTGGTGCTCAGCTGTCAGCAAACACGGGTCCGGGTGCTGCTGGAAGGGGGTGGAAGGTGTGGTTGCCGTCGGTTGGCTTTACGTCAAGGGGGTTGCTCACAATGGGGTGGGCCTCACCCGAGCAGGTGAAGGCCTTGGGAGCAAAGACCGAGGGTCCCCAGGTAAGAAGGGATTCCGCCTCAAGGCTGTCACGGAGACAGCCATGGCCCAGCCTGCGGGCCTGCCTTGCAGACGTGGAACCGCCAGCTCCCACAGCCCCGTGAGTGGTTCCTTCTATAAACCCACATGTCTTCTATGTGCCCATGTCTGTCCTGCCCGCTCTCCCTCCAAGAAACCTGACAGGCACACGCGCTGTGATCGTCACTATGAGCCACGCTCGCCTCATCGTCCCGCAGGCGGGGCCTCTCACAGAGTCCCCACAGGCTAGCAGCACGCATGTCACCCGGACATTCCTGGGCCCCGCCCAGACTGCAAGAGGAGGTTGTGACGTGAGAAGGATGTAATGAGGCGATGCCTGCGTCCGTCTCGCTCGGGGCCTGGCGTTCACAGTGAGCAGAGCAAGGCGCTGTGTCCTCTC